TGGTTGTTGGATCAAAAGCTTAATTATAATTCTTAATTCATTGTTTTTAACTCCCACATCTTTTAGAGTAATGATTGCCTGCGTAGTTGAATTGGAGGATTGATTTTTATCAGTGTTATTTGTGTGTCTCATTTTCATTTCTTTAATCTCCATTCATTTTAATCACTTTTATATAAAAACAAAAAAAAAGTATTTTAATTTCAATTCGATTCGTAGTATTTAATTAACAGCTTTTCAAAATTCAAAAATCTCTTTTTATAGTTTAGGTTACTTGCATTCATTTACTAGAGTTTAATTTCGTTTTCGGCTCCTCAAAGTGAAACGACCTGGGTTGTGCACTATATTGTATTAATTCGGTTAATTTTTGGAGTAACCCCAAAGCGACAATCAAAGGGAAGTTAACTTCAGATACTTATTTGACGGTTCTTGTGCCTAGATATGTAAGTTCTGTTTAATGCTCCCTTGTAATGAATAGCTGTCTCAATGTTTTGAAGTTGGTAGTTGTATTGTTCTATGCCTATAGATGTATAGTAACTGTTCCAAATGGTTTGATGGTGTGTAGACACATTAATATGATGATTTGATCATTAAACGTTGTTTCTAATATCGAAACAATTAAATAATGAAGATGCTTGACAAGGGTCTTGGAAGAAATGCATTAAGTATCTCAAGGCTTTAATGGGTTAAATTGATGAAGTAGAATAAAGAAATCAGGCCTATTCATTCCCCTTGTTTCGGTCAAATGACTATGAAAGCAATATCTTTGAAATTGAAAAAAAAAAAAATCCAGACTTAGTGGAAAGTAGGCTGTGGGAAACATCCGGGAAAGGAAAAAGAAAATATTTTAGTTCATTTTGAATATATGTGATAAGATTTAACTTGAAACTTATTCTAGGTTGTATGGCCTCAAGTCTCTGCTAATAAGGTTATAGAGAATATAATTTCTTAATGATATATGAATTATTCGTTTGAATATTTTTGTAGATGATTGTGGATGATACATGGTAGATATATCATTATACATCTATTTAAAGAAATAAATGGTAACTGGAAAACTAATGTGAACTTTGCCAGTTAGTTTATGCTTTTGAATATTAAATCATTGGCTCAAGGTATAAAAAGTATGCTTCTAGATGCCTAAATGATGATTAAGTCAATGTTTTTTAAGCTTGAATTTGCGAGTTATTGTTTACATGATATATTACTTAAAGTGAAGCCAAATAATACATGAGAATTTATGATTTGTGCTTCTAGATTCTAAACCATTATAAACAACATATAAGTTGGGTGTAGAGACTCTTAAATGATGGTTTAATACTTTATTTAAGGGCTGAAGTTTTCCGAGGTTGTTAAATGACTTGTAAAGTGAATGATGGCGCCCAGAAGTTAATAATAATGTTGTAAAAGGCATAACCATAAGATTAAAGGATGTTATAGAGATTATAAATATCCATATGTTAAGTGGATACAGGTATGTGCTCATTGTTTAGCTATGAATATGTGAATGTTATTTGAACAATATTATTGAAAGTTAAAAGAAGTGATGTTTAAAAAGTTGTTGATGCTCCTTAGTGTTGAATAATCAATTTTGGTGGTTCTTGATGTTAAATGAGGTCTTCAATGCTTGACACATATGTATTTGCTGCTGTGATGTTTGGGAAACGGATGCATGATGTGTTTGTTTATAATAATTAAATTTATGACCTTTGTTTCTTGTTTTTGATCAACTATGGTTCCAATGGATTCAGAAGTTAAGCAAAACCTAAGAAAAGGAGAGGTTTTAGATACCCTTGAAAATATAGAGATTAAATATAGGAGTTTTTCTATAAGATGACTAACCACATTAAGATAGGGAAGCATGCCTAAGTGTGGGGTTATAGAGAGAATTAGTTAGTTATGGGTTAATCATTACCCTCATTTTAACTTACGTTATGTATGTACTTGTAATGTTAGGATTTAATTGGTGTTTTACCCTACTAAGAAGAAACTCATAGCAAGGTAGCCGTACAAGAGAGCAAACAAAAGATAACTTTATTTTGCATGTTTTGTTTTGGTTGCATGTCTGTTTATGTCATAATACTTGAGAATATGTAAATTGCCTTACTAGTTATTGTCATGGCCATGTGCATGCATTTTGCTGTCCAGTATATAAGCATTTAACAGTTGATCAGTTAGTAGCTATATAGTTGCTTAGTTATTCAAATTATGTAGTTAAGCATATGCTCAGTTATCCAATTATGCATATGATCAGTAATCAGTTAACTAGTTAGCAGTTGCTCAATTATACAATTCAGTTCATCAGTTATGTAGTTGTTCAGTTATTCAATTATGTGCAATGGTTATATGAGATTCAGTTAAATGATAGCGAATATGCCTCAATTAATTATTTTGTTCAGTTTAATTATTTTGTAAGGTGTTGTTCTTTGTGACTTCTTTTGCATGCTTCATTTTATGCCATGCATAATATATGAAATATGATTACTGCCACTACCATTCTTTGAATTTTACCCATCTCCTCTGTGTAACCATAGGGCCTAGTCGATCCAAAGGGAAAGAAAAGTTGGTGGGAGCATAGCTAAGATTGAAGAGAAGAAGAATTTAGTTATGTAGTTAATTAGTTAATCAATATGAAAATTTAATACATTACATGTGTACATTCCCTTTCGTGATATTTTATGTGTTTCTATTTTTTTCACCCTATTTGAGAAGCATGTAATCTATACTGTTATGCTTGTATATACATCCATAAGGAGGAGTACTTGAGGGTGGTTCTAGTACAGCTAAAAGTTTGGTATATATGTATAGGTAATGATATTATATGTGTGATGATGTGAGTGATATAGTTATTTCCTATGTAAATTGTATTTCCAAAGTTCTAGAATGTGTATCTTATAAGTTACGATTTATTAAGCTGGAAGGGAAAAGTAGAGTTATTGAAAGTAAGATCAGTCCAGCTCTAAATAAATATTGCTAACAGGCAGTTTGAGAGTGAATTTGGGTCTTATTTTATAACATAAAACTGTTAGAAAAATGAAGTTATAAGTTTAGATTCAAAGCTACATAAAATTTTTTTAAAATTTCACCTTTTATGAGTAAATTAAAGTTGTAATCGCTGCTAACAAAACTACTGTCATTTAGGCTGTTAGAGTTGGGTGTCACAGGAGTCACTAATAATCCATTTTAGGATGTGACTTGGTGGAAGAATTGTTATATACTTTTTTGGTTTTATTTATAAAGTAAAGAGAGAAAATATTTTTTTTGTTCTATTTATAGAAAACTGAGAGAAATTTTTTTGTATGGACGTATAATTTTACCTGTCATTTATTATTTTATTGACTTTATTTATGTAGAGCATAATATATATTAAATAAAAATAAAATTGAAATGTTATTGAATTTTAAATGAAAGTTAATTTCATGTGAAACATATTAGAAGTGATTTATAAATAAAACTAAAAGAATATATTGATATTGCGATCTAACTATTAGTCGATAACTGATCAAAGTTTGGTTGGTTAAAAGGTTTGGTCTAAATTTTGGCAACAAAAAAATAAAAGGTTTGGTCTAAATGATATTTCGGTCTATTGCGGACGTAAGGAAAAAAAATAAAAAAAGCTGAAAATTACTAAATATTAAATAAATAATGTTAACAAAATTTATTTATATTTGCAAATCCAGTGTTTTAATAAAATATTGTTTTGATTTGAGATTTGGTGATTTTTATTTTTTTTTATCATTTTCAAAAAAAAAAAAAGTGGTCCTGTAACATTTATCCATATATCGTCAGTGAAATTTGAAAGACTTAATTGGTATTAAATTTTTTCAAGGAAAATTATTTTTACTTTTGAGGGACTTATTTGTAACTTTTCTTCCATCGCTAATGTTCATGATTTATATTTAAAAATTAAAATTTTTTGGCCAAAATATTAAAAATAATGAAATTATGAGTTTTAAAAATAGAAACCACGTCATGGGTAAATATTTGAGTAAACTCTGATGACTTTCCAGCATCATGTGATGTGATGGCGTAATTTCTTAATTATCTTAATTATTATTAGCTAGAAAATTCGTACAAGTCATTAGGAGACCGAAGAGCTAGTCAACACATTTTTGGTGAAAGGAAAATGAAATTACGAAGCTTTTGTTTTCTTTCCGTTTAACTATGGGCTGCTGAATGCTAACGTATAATGTTGGTGTCTTTATCTAGTTTTGAAATTTCCTAGCCTTCCCCTAATTTATCGACTTCCGCCACATTAAAGTGTACGTGGGGGTCACACAAACTTCCAGAAATTGCATCGTCACCCCTTTTGACAAATTGCTATCGCATCCTTCAACAATTTGAAGATTGAGTAAATGCAAATAAGAAAACAACAAGAGAAGTCACGTGGCTGTCGTATGCTGCCAGTTGCTTTTTCTTTATAATTTTTTTGCAAAAATTAATCTTCTTCTTATCTTTATAGTTTTCATATGTTTATAACTCAGTTTTTATATTTTGATTTGGTATGACTTAGTTGTTATAATTTTGATTTGATTGTAACTCAATCCCTAAAATTTGATAGTTTTACTCATTTTATAATTTAGTTTTTATGTTTTTGAAAAATGAAATTATCTATTTAATAAAAAGAAGGATTAACTTATAAAATGTTAAAAGTATAAAGACTGAGTTGTAACAAGTCAAACTTTAAAAACTGAGCTATAACCGAGTAAAAATTATAAGGACTGAGTTACACCGAACTAAAGTATAAGAAATCAAAATACAAGCCTTTAATTACAGATAAGTAAAAATTATAGGGACCAAAAGATTAATTTTTTTTAATTTTTTTCCTGACGGAATTCTTATTCCTCCTCCGTCCTTTTTCAAACTCCAATCAGTACCCCTTCCTTGGTCAATGTCCTCCAAAATACGCCATTTACGGGCCAAACATGACCTCTTCTTTCTTCTTCATCTTCGTTCTCTCCACTTCCAAACATATGATTCCTTCCGGTCCATCTTAACAAAAGATGCTTCAACCTAATAATCTCCTTATTCCTTCAATCACCTTCATCTTTTGGTCATCGTGGACGCTTATTAACGGCGCCGTTTCGGAGCCACAGGCCAATCTTCTAAGCACAGGCTGCTCTCCATCTATTGACCAATTCGTTGTGACCAACTTCTCCATCTTCAGTGAAAACGTCAACAGAACGTTCCGACACATCAGAGAGCAGATTTCGAATAACAGTAAGCACTTTGCGACGGCGCAGCGACCCAGCGTAGAAAACTCCGTTTTCGCTCTTTTTCAGTGCAGAAACTACATCTCCATTCATGACTGTGTTGTCTGCTTCGACGCCGCCGCCAAACAAGTCCACAAATGCGCTGCCGGAACACAAGGTGGCCGCGCCGTCTACGACGGCTGCTTCCTCAGGTACAACTAGTTCACAAGCTCTTCTCTTCTTCTTCAATTCTTTTTTATTTTTTTTCCAGCCGCTAAGTTTGAAGTCTGACCTTTTGATTTTAGTTGTTTAATCTTTTCGCTTATGGAGGGTGCCCTTTTCTTTTCTGAATGGTATATGTCATAGAGATAATGCATTAAATTAACTGCTAGCATTATTATAGTGTTGACATTGATTAATTAAGCTGTAGCAATAAAGACCAACCAAAAAAAAAAAAACACCTAACAATTGTTAAAGTGGCAGGATTCGCTTGGGATATCACATGTCAGTAGAGGGGTCCAGTCACGGACCTTGTTGAAGAGTTCAGACCAAGGGGAATATAAACACTGGCTAATTTTTATGAAATGTTTGATGCCATAATTAATATATATATGTGTGTGGATATATTAATTTAAAAATAAAATAGATAACCATATATTTGTAAATTTTGATTATATTTAAGTTGTATTTCTATTTCAATCAAAACTTTTGAAATTTATGTATATAAAAAAATAGTTTATGCTAAATAATAACTCCTTTGCCTGTAAGGAAAAAAGAGGGAGAAAAACATATAGCTGTCACATATTATTGAAATACAAACGAGATCTTATATTAAGGACTGGAGGTAGTAATTCTTTCCAAATAGTTATTAAATTAATTTGGTCTACCATTATGGTCTTAAATATAAGTCACCTGTACAGGAAGTTTTGATCCTAAATGTAAGTTACTTATAGTAAATATGATACTTGTATTTTTAATTTTATTCTTATTAATTCTTATTGCAAAGAGATAAAGAAAGGATAGATATGAGAATGATTTATAAATGTAGAAAGAGAGAGAGAGAGAGAACTCTCTGTTTATCTGCAACCTATATTAATATATGGGGTAAGATCTAGAGTCATGGGGTGAGGTAGAAACTCAAAATTGTTCGTAGTTCTTAGGCTTTTTCATTCAAGGTGGGTAGCTTTAATATATGAGGCTAATAATAGTGGCTTCCCAAACCAAATTATTTACTCGAAGTTTCATAATTCATTGGAATATATCACATAGTCAACACATGAAGAGGTGAGGAAAAACAAACAAGCATCATAATATAACCTTAATGTTGGTGCCTGGTCAATGTGGGTATCATTGTTGGAATTTTCCAACTTCCACCTGTCACTGTTAGTCTTCGGAGCCCGTCTAATTTTTTGTTTTTTTGGTACGAGAGGGCGCTGCCCCACGCAATTTACAAAGCCTTTGGGTCAAAAAAAGAAACTTTCAAAAATTGCAACAATCAAATGACCTGATTTACGATTTTACAATTTCTATAGTCCTTTTTTGCCATTTTCCTTTCAACCAATCATTTGAAAACGATGACGAAATGTGTTGAAACAGCTGATCAGATGCCTCTGATCTTAAGCCACTTGGCTGTCTTCGATTTCCCTTGTATGTATCAGTTTCTTCTTCCTCATTAATTCCGTGATATAATTCTCCTCTTCAAACACCAATCTCTAATCTCTGATATAGTTCATATATTGTAGATCTAACTTGACCTCTCTTTCCTTCTTCATCTTTTTTATTCTCTCCAACTGCAGCCAACTGATAAACGAAGCCCAGCGATTGAGAGAACAAAAACTCTTGTTTTATTCCATCTCAGAAAAACTAAACTGATCAATCCAAATTACATTTACAAGGCTCTCGGCTAATATATAAACCTACCTAACTATTACAACGCTATGGGCTTTGAGAGAAAGCCCAATTCAGCCCAAGTCCAATAACTTAACTAACTCTAATAATTCTAACACTCCCCCTCAAGTTTGGAACTGTAAATATTTATAGTTCCCAACTTGCTCAACATTTTCCGCTGACTATCGTATCCAACTGCCTTAGTCAGTATATTAGCCTCCTGATTGCTGCTTTTCACATGAATTAGACTAATCAATCCACTCTGCAATTTCTCCCTTACAAAATGGCAATCTATTTCAATGTGCTTAGTCCTCTCATGAAATACTGGATTTGATGCTATGTGTATTGCGGCTTTGCTGTCACAAAACACTCTTACTGGCTGAGGATGACAAACTCTTAAATCTTCAAGCAATCCTTTAACCCAAACTATCTCTGACACTGCAGCTCCAAGAGCTCTATACTCTGCCTCTACTGAGGATCGTGACACTGTAGACTGCTTCTTAGTCTTCCAAGTGATCAAAGAATCTCCCATTTTCAGCAAGTATCCTGTCACAGACCTTCGTGTGGTTGCACATGCTCCCCAATAAGAATCACAAAAACAGCTAACCTTCAAGTCTTCATTGGAGCTGAGGAGGATACCCAATCCAGGATTCTGTTTCAGGTATCTTACTACCCCCAGCGCTGCTCCCATATGCATCTTAGTTGGAGTCTGCATAAATTGGCTGAGGACCTGCACAGAGAAACTGATGTCAGGCCGTGTTATTGTCAGGTATATTAATCTACCTATAAGTCTTCTATAACGTTCAGGTTCCCTTAGCAAATCCTTCTCAGCATCCTTTCCTTCTTCAAAGGCTCGCAGCTTCAAATTCTGCCCCATTGGTACTGACAGTGGCCTACATCCACTTAGTCCTGCATCAGAAATCAAATCCAGCACATACTTTCTTTGAGACAAAATAATTCCCTTTTGGGACCTAGCTATCTCTATCCCCAAAAAATACTTAATTTCCCCTAGATCCTTGATCTTGAATTGCCTATGCAGATAATCTTTCACTTCCCTTATTCTGTCCTCAGAATTACCAGTGATAAGAAGATCATCAACATAAACTAGAACCAAAACAAACTCTGTTTCAAACCTTTTAATGAACAAAGAATAGTCATGTTTACTTTGAACAAAGCCTCCTAATTTTAAAGCAGTAGTCAATTTAAAATTCCATTGCCTTGAGGCTTGTTTAAGCCCATACAAAGATTTTTTTAATTTGCAAACCATGTTCTCCCCCTTACGTTCAAAACCTTACGGAATGGACATGTAAACTTCTTCATCTAAATCTCCCTGCAAGAATGCATTATGAACATCCATCTGAAACAAACTCCAATTGTTTACAGCAGCTAATTTAAGCACAATTCTCACAGTTATCATCTTCACTACAGGAGAGAAAGTTTCATGATAGTCAATTCCCTCTCTTTGATTATATCCCTTAGCCACAAGTCTTGCCTTATATTTGTCTATACTTGATGAACCACATTTTGATCAACTAAATAATGTGATTTCCCATTGAATTTAAATGCTTTCATGTGGAATTAACTTTAGATTTCTAATATTTGATAAGAAATGATGCTGTGAGAATTTGATGTATCATTGCAGGATTGAAAGGGATTTTCTCTAATTCTGGAAGTATTGGTGAAGAATGGACAAAATCTGGAAAGATATAGCCAAAAATCTTGAATTAGGAGTTAAAACGCAGTGTTTTGAATCTGGTTAAGAGCTGGAATCATGTGTGGTCTAGTGTAGCATTTTGTGAGGAAAAACTCTAAGTAAAACGCATAGCTCCATGGCTAGTGAGTTTCAAGAGAGTGACACATGTCTTGGGCTTTAGTAAAACGCATAGCTGAAGGCAAGGAAGTTTCACATGTCAAAATACAACATTACAAGCCTTCAAATGTGGAGAATGAGGTGAGAAGGCGGGGGAAAATAAAGAAACAGAACTGGACGTCCAGAAGCTTCAGAAAAACGGATCTGATACTGAATTCCAGCATTCTCATTCATTCTCTTCTTTTCTTCACTTCTCCAGATTCTCTCAACTTCCAGATTCATCTTCTTCATCTTCTTCTCTTCTCTTGCGTTTTGCTATGGAGATTCAGAGGAGATTTGGCCAGATTTCCTCCATCAACATGAGCAACTAAGCCATTGATTCCTGAGGAGCTGTGATGGATCCAGAGCACTGATTGTCAAGGGAGATTTCGTTTTTCTTGAGTTTGTATTTGTGTTTTAGATTTGGATCTTGTTATAAATCTTTGTTTGAAATTCAGATATATAACTCATATTAGATTTCATTAGGTTCTGCTACTTCTGAGTTGTGATGTGTTTAGAGGTTATAATTTCCTTTTTCTGAGTAGCTTCAATTCAGTTTCTGATTTGGTTTAAGTCTGGAACTTAATTGTTGTGATAAATCTGAGGTGAATTGGTTAATCTTCATCCTGGAAATTATCTAATTACATCATTAGAGTTGATTGCAGACCTACTGTTTGATGAATTGCCTAAGAGAAATAGAAATCTGATTTTAGGTTGCAAGGAAGGTGAAATCACAGATCCAAGGGAATTCACTTCATTGATATCTTTCAAACTCTTTTCTGTATCTTATTCTTCTCTCATTCCTTTTGAAAATCAGTTTTCATAAATAACAATTCATGACAGAAACCAATTCCAGAAGCTACCTCCTTCTCTGTTAGTTTAATTTGTAACTTCTAGCTAGTTTAATTCCAGAAGACATTAAGGCTCCTTGAGACTGACCTCTAGTTGACTCATCTCCTACCTAATCTAGAGTATTAAATTTGACCTTTGAACGACAAGAGATCAAATTTTTGGCGCCGTTGCCGGGGAGCTCTGTCTCCTTGGTTTTCAGCTAGCTAGTTTTTTTTAACTGCATTTTTTTTTGGTGTGTTTGCTTTCTAGTTTGATTTCATTTTACAGTAGTTTATTTTCTGTCATTGTTTCATTACTCCATAATTGTTTGGTTTTTGGAAAATATTAAAATCAAAACAAAGAGTTTGCTACCTGCTGTGTTTCCAGATTGAAAAAGGCTGCAATTTGAAGGTAATTCACTTATCTTCCATCTGCATTTTGCTGATTGGACTCTACTCCTGAATTTGGATAATTGCTTGTTGAATCTGGACAATTGTCATTGCATTGCATGAACAACAATAGTGATTTTTATCCACTGGACAGAGAGATTAATAGGACACTTAGGTGGATTAAAAAGGCTAAACAACAAGTAGCTACAAGTACCACACATTTAGAGCATTCTGCACAGTCAATCTCCACTGCATCTTCTAGTAGTGAACTTGATTCTCTTTCTGATTCTGAACCTGTTGAGGGTGAGTTTGTTGATAATCACTTTGTGATGGAGAACCAAGGTAATCAAGCTAATACAAGGAATAATGGGGTTGGTAATGTGAATCAAGGAAATAGGGTGAATAATGAAGAGGATCATGCTGAAAATGTTAATCATAATATACCTCAGAATCCTGATGATGATAATAGGAGCATAAAGGAAATTAATAATTCCACCATTAATTGTCCACCAAGAGGATTTTATGTTCAGGATATTAACTTTGAAATCAAAGGTGCTTTAATTAGTTCCTTACCAAAATTCTATGGACTTGCAGGTGATGATCCCTATCAGCACTTGGATACTATGTATTCGGTCTGTTTAGCAATGAAACCTCCTGGAGCAGCTCTTGAAGATGTTCTAAAGAGGGTTTTTCACTTTACATTGGAAGGAAATGCAAGGGAGTGGCTGCACACACTTCCTCAACATTTTTCAACTCTCACATGGGAGCAATTAAGGAAGTCTTTTCTGGACAAATACTTCCCTGCATCTAGGACCTCAAAATTGAAGAAAGCAATATATGGTGTAACTCAAAGAGAGCAAGAAACTCTGTATGAGTACTGGACACGTTTTTTGACCTTGATTAACCGCTGTCCTAACCATCAGTGCACTAAATCTAGCTTAGTGCAGTATTTCTATGAAGGGATGTTGTCCTCAACCAAAAGCATAATTGATGCAGCTGCTAATGGGTCTATTTTGGAGCTTACTCCTAAAAATGCTTGGGAACTCTTAGAAAGAATGGCCAACAATACTCAATAGTTTCATACAAGGGAAACACAAGGAGTCAAGGAGATGTCTTCTCATCATTCTCAAGACTTGTTTGCACAACTGCTGGCACTTACAGATAGAATGGATAAAAGAATGGAGAGATTGGAACAAGAGAGGTATTCGAAGCCTTACAATTCAGTTGGCACTTCCCAAGCATTAGTGGCCCCTTCATGTGATTTTTGTGCATCACCCATGCATACAAGCGAAAATTGTCCCTCTCATATTGAAGAACTTTCTGCTGTTTATCAAGGAAGATCAGGACAATTTTCACAAAGAAATCCTTATTCTAACACCTATAATGAGGGATGGAGAGATCATCAAAATTTTAGGTGGAGGGAAGGATCAGAAAAACCTCTAACAATGCAAAACAAGTTTCAGGACAACAGAGTGAATTCTGAACATACCAGAACTTTAGTACAGCATCAGGGTGCATCCTCCTCCAAAAATGACAATGGTATGGCTGAATTGATTCAATGTATGAAGGAAATGAAATCTGAGATAACCAACAACAATTCTTTGACCAATTCTAGGATGAGTGCATTGGAGCAGAAGATTGAGCAGTGGGAAACTAAGTCTGCTAATCTGAATAATTTTGTCACTCAAATGTCTAATACACTTAACGATCTGCAAGCAAGAAGTGGAGGGTCTCTACCTTCAAATATAGTGATTAATCCAAAGTCATTGAATGCCATTTCTTTGAGGAGTGGAAGACAAGTTGGAAAACAAGTCAGTTTTACTTTGGATGAGGATGATGAACAACTTAAAGAATCTGATAATATGCAGCAAAATGATGATTCTGTGGTGACCCCTCAAGTTCAATCTGAAAGCAAATGTGAGAAGAAATTATTGTCAACAAGGAAAAAAGAGAAAGAATCAATTTCCACACATGATGATGATGCAACCTGGGCTGCAAACTCTCAGCATTCTGGAATTAAGGAGTTACAGCAAGAAGTACCCAAAGCAGTCCCAACTCCTTCTGGTCAACAAAATGAGGAACTTCCAGAAATTCAGAAGCAATCAAGGAAGGGTAAGAGTGAGGTAAAGATTTCAGAGCTTCCTTTTCCTAAATCATTTCTTCTTAGTAGGAAATTGTCTAATGAACAAGTTGAGAAAGATGCTTTGAATCTATTTAGCAAGCTGGAAGTTAATGTACCCTTATTGGATTTCCTGAAAAGTATGCCTAAGTATGTGAGATTTTTGAAGGAGCTGTGTACTAATAAGAGGAAATGCAAACCCAATGAATTGGTTCAAATAGGATCAAGTGTTTCAGCACTTTTTAAGCCACATTTACCAGTGAAATGTTCTGATCCAGGATCATTTACAATTCCATGCACTATTGGTAAATTGAATATAGCTAGTGCCCTCCTAGATTTGGGTGCTGCTATAAATGTTATGCCATTGTCTATCTATACATCTTTGGGCATTAATTCAATAAAAGACACTAGTATGATCATTCAGTTGGTCGATAGAAGCATTAGAAGACCTCATGGGCTATTGGAAGATATTCTGGTCAAGGTTAAGGACTTGATTTTTCCAGCAGATTTCTATGTCTTGGATATGTCTCATGAATCAACCATTGAGGGACCATTGATCTTAGGGAGACCATTCCTTTGAACTGCCAACACAGTGATTAGTATGAAAGATGGTTGTATCACGATGGAAGTGGGTGATCACATGATCAGTTTTAATGTTTATGAAGCTATGAAGCACCCATATGAAGATTACTCATTGTTGGGCGTAAGTGCCATTGATGCTTTCATAGAAGACTCTGTAGCTGAATGTGAACCTTCCCTTCTCAACATGAACGAGTATGGTCTCACCACATTTGATTTAGATTTGCCAATAATGAATTCCTTCTTCTGCCCCAATGATTTTTTTGTTTGTGATGATGAGGTGTGTAGTGTTGACTTTCATTCAGTTGATAGCTCACTTTCCACATTGCAAACATTTTCTTTTGATATTTCTTCTTTTGATGATGATTTTGTTTCTGAAATCTCTAATAATGGGTTTGGGAAAGGTATACTTTCTAACTTTGCAGAAGCTGAGAATATTGCAAAATCTGCATTGGATGGAGCCAGTACCAATATAGCAACATTGGAAACATCAAGAATGCATATTGATGAAGAAAAGAAAGGAGATTTGGTCACTGGACAAGCTTATGCTGAGGAACAAAAATTCCATATTCCACCAGCTCACTGTTTTGAGAAATTAAAGTTGCAATCTGATTCAATTTTGGATAATTTACATCAGAATTCTCCTTATG